ACAAACAAATCACATAGTGCTGCAATATAAACTAAATAGTTTGAAATAGTAGGATAATATTGCCCAGAAAATGCATTTGTAGCAATTTGAAAATGTTCTAAAAAATCTATAAGAATTTTAACATTCGTCCAATCTTGATTTGTAAGGATTTCATCATCATCCTCACCACCAACACGAGCATTAAACGTTGCATTAATTGGGTTTCTATATTCATATGCAACTACTAAACTTTCGTACATATAATTCCATCTAGTTGGACAAGGTTTAGGAACCTTTCTTTCTCTAAGGCCAAATTCATCACATTTTTTAAAATACTCTCTAAGTCTACTTCTACGGTTTGAATAAAAAAGCCAATTAAGAGCCATTCTAACCTTTTCAATTTCTAAATTTAAAATTCTCATACCATCACCGACGATTAAATGGTAAATATGACAAATACATCTCACATGGAAACAATTACTAAATGCAGGATTTAGTGTTGTTGTAAGTATGCCTATAGCACTAGTGTTACTAGAAGCATTATCCATAGAAATTGCCATTATTTTATCTCTAATGCAAAAATATCTACAAATATCTGCAACAGTGTTAGCAATAAACTTACCTGTGTGACGTGAATTAATTATTCTATAAGCAATAATGCGTTTTTGCATTATCCACTCCTCATCTATCCAATGACTTGTAACAGTTAGATAATCACAGTCATTATTACTTCTACCAATATCAGTAGTAATAGAAATCCGATTAGTTATATGAGTAAATAAATACCGCAAATATTGTTCATATTCATGTTTATATTTATAAATATCGCTCTTAACTGTTGCGCGAGGCCAACCTTTATAAGTAGGATTAAAAACTTTTCTAATATAATGCACAAAATTAGGGTTAGAAGGAAAAGTATAGGGTAAGCACATAACGGTAACCATCTTTGCTAATTCTTCACGATCTTTATTAGGATCGTAATATAAAATACCACCGGTCACAGTGTTAATTCCTGGTTGAACTAGATTTGAACCTGTACTAGGGTTAACCGCAGTATCTACACTTGTCCCCTCTTGCTGCGCTTTCATTTGTAAATATTTAACTTTATCTCTAGGGTGTGTTTGTATGTGCCTAGCCAAACTACCCGTACCGCTACGGTCTCTAGTACATTTATGCGCCAGCATTTCCCACAAGTTTTACACTTAGCCTTATTTTGTTCTCTTACTTGAGTAAAAAAATTCCAAACTATTGATGTTTCTAGGTGTTTAGAATGTTGTCTATTAAAAGTATAGGTTTTTACAGGTGGGTCGGGCAGGGCATCAGTTGGGTTATTAACAGGACTAGTAGGTGTATCATCTAAATCCGGTTGGGTTTCATCTACATCCTCATTTTCCTCATCATTTTCTAAGATAATTTGATTAGGATAAAGAGCATTCATAACTTCTTCATTTAATTGTTCACTTGGTGCAACATTATGGCAAAATTCACTATCAGAAAATTGAAAACAAGGGTTATCACTATCAAAAATAATAGGAGCAGCAGGACAGGTAACAGGTCTGGGTCGGGGAGCCGGGGGAAGGGTAGTAGGTTGACGACTATTTTCACCAATTTTAGCTTTTCCCTTACCACCAAATATTTTTTTCAAAGAAAATGTCATATTAATTACAATTATGCAAACTAAAACACACAAAAATATATTCTTAAGAGTTGGAACGAGTTTACCGAATTGCTGAACAACTTCTTGAAAATTGAAAATCGTTGAAGACTTGAAGACTTGAATACTTCAATTAAACAACTTCACATTTTTTCACGAAATTGCAATAATAAAATAAGCAATTATAGAAGAGAAATTAGATATAGATTGAGAGAGATCGATGAATTGGTGAGTAAAAATGAAAGAATGAGGGGGTATTTATAGTTGAGAATTGGATAAAAGTATAATTATATAAAGTTTGGGGTTAAAATAAAGTTTGGGGGCCAAATGGCTATTTTTTAAAGTGGCCAACGGATAAATTTTGAAGGCCAACGGCTAGATTTTAAAAATCTGACCGTTGGTCTTTTTTTTTAAATTTTTTTTTTAAAAAAATAGCCGTTGGAGCCCGTTAGGCCCGGTTGAACCGGCCCAGGCCCGCCTGCCGGTCCCGGGCTCGTGGGCTCCTTGAATTGGACCGGCCCGCCACAGGCCTTGTGCACCATTTGGGACCGGCCCACCGAGACCGGCCCACCAGGCCCGTTTAGCCCATTTGGACCGCGGTCCCAGTCCGGTCCCGGGCCCAGCCCGACCCACAGTGCAGCATTAATGGTATGTGGGAGGTCCCAACGCACAGTTAATTGATACTCCATCCCTAATAGTGACCTCAAAATGGACTAAACTCACTATGGTCAAGAGATGCAAGGCCTTTGGGGTCAATGTGATGGGCTAATTGGGTGGAGTTAAAAGCAAGTGGTACCAGGGGAGGGATTGTGGTGATTTGGGACAAAAGAAAGTCTGTCAAATAAGATGCACTCCGTAGGTCCTGTTCCATCTCTTGTATGTTAGAAAGCACCACAAAAGTGTTCAGATGGTGCTTCACAGGAATCTATGGACCACGCAACAATCCAGAGAGAGAAGTAATGTAGAGTCAGATTGTAGGAATAAGGGGACTTTGGGAAGATCACTGGGTAGTGGGAGGTGACTTAAATGTTGTTATGTTTGAGAGTGAGAGGCTGAATTGTACTAGAAGATCAAAGGCATATTATTCAGGACCTAAATGTTATTGATTTACCTTTACAAGGGGCTTAATATACCTGGTCTAAAGGAGACAATTGTTTGCAGGCTTCGAGAATTGATAGGTTCCTTATCTCCAATGATTGGAATGACTTTTAATGTTGTGAGACAGATTGCCTTGCCTAAGGTGATTTCAGAACATAGACCAATTATTTTGGAGAGTTGCGACTGGATTCAATTCCTTCCTTCAAGTTTGAAAACATGTGGCTTCAATTAGAAGGATTTCTTGGCAAACAGAAGAGATGGTGGCAGAATTACACATTCAATGGTAGTGCTGATTTTATCCTTATGCAAAAGGTAAAAAGCCTAAAGAAGGATATCACTACCTGGAACAGGGAAGAGTTTGGGAAGGTGAAAACCAGGAAAAACAGGGCACTAGAGGAACTCATGGCACTAGAACAGGCTGCAGAAGACAGGCAGTTGACTTTTTCATCTGAGGCTAACCAAATGGTGAGTATAAAAATAGAATTGCAACTGTTAGCCACAGCAGAAGAGATTTCATGGAGGCAGAAATCCAGGCGTCTTTGGCTTAAGGAAGGGGACAGAAACACCAAGTATTTCCAGAAGATTGCCAACTCTCATAGAAGAAGCAATTGCATAGACAAACTCATGGTCGGGGATGAGATCATAGAAAGTAAGGAGCAGATAACGCTTGTACACTGAGCAGGAAAGTTGGAGGCCATCTGCTAATTTTGAAGAAATTGGAACCATTACAGAAGAAGTAAAGGAGGGGCTGGAGGCATCTTTCAATGAGAGGGAGGCAGAAACTCACAACCATCTTTTTCTTCAATGTCTTGTTGCAGCAGATTTATGGAGTATGTTTATATCAATCTTTAGACTTAGTTGGGTCATGCCACATAATATCATGGATGCTTTTGAGTCTTGGAGTTACTGGAAAGTTGATAGCACCATCAGGAAAGTATGGAAGATGATACCTGCAGCTATTTTTTGGAGCATTTGGAATGAGAGAAACAACAGGTGTTTTAATGGAGTATCAACTTCTCCCCACAAACTCAAGGCTAGATGCCTCGTGTATTTGTATAGCTGGGCTTATCTATCCCCTATAGACTCCCCGGATAGTTTTTTAAATTTTGTTAGCTCCCTAGTACTTGTATAAACATTTGTAAGGAGCTAACAATTGCTACACTCTTTTGTAACTTCTGCATCTTCTTGATGCCATCAATAAAACCAATTACTTCATCCAAAAAAAAAAAAAAAATTGATGAAGTATTGAAAGTGCCCAAGAAGATTATCACTTGCCTATATAGAATATTATCTAGCAATTCAAAAACACAAGGAACGAGATACAAGTTGCAAAGACGACCAAGTTAGATATTTTATATGTAACTCAGATTGTAAGAACATGCTGAAGACACTTAAGCAAAAGTGCATCGACAACCCACACGAACCTAGACCTAAATGTAGGAAACCTCAGGTTCATATTGCGAAAACTCGCCAAAGCGTTAAAGCTAAAAATTGTGCAAAAGATCAAAAAGGTCAGAATGTCTTTGGGCCTTCCCAATAGTGATCCACACAAATAAACCTTCGAGCAAAATCAAATGGAGAATATGGTCAATGGTTACAATTACATTTTCAAACCAAACACATCAAGAAACAGTTAGTATCCAAACTAGGCCAACTTATACTTATGCTGGAAACAATGGTAAGTATCTGGCAGGAATAATAGCCAAAAGGCATCAGCAAGCTCTTAGTAAAATTCATAATAGCATGAAAGCAAACATAAAATATGTTTTTCTCTCCAATAAAACATTTGGGTATTTTGAGCTTCGCGACATATACTAGCCCAGCCAACAAGTTGTAGCCTGTTAAGTGAGGTATGCAAACAGTGGCAAATCCCAACTCCTTTAAATGTCATGCAATTGTCAACATCTGAACGGTGTTCCATTTACAGGTCAGTAACACTAACGGGGTGGGGGGAGAGAGCTGACAGTGGAAACTTGAGTGAAAAAAAATTTCAACTTAAAAATTTCCGAAGTTGTATCAACGACAGGAAATGTAGATTTTGAAATTTGTCCATCATATTTGGTAATGAATGACTGAGCTTAATGGCCTCGGCTCTTCCTTCCATTATGAGGGAGAAGGGGGAGGGAAAAATCTGATTGGATTGTGTATATCTAATATTTTCATGATGTCCTCAAGACCTTGTGAAGACTTGATTAAAGCAATGTTTGCTAGTGCAATTTCCGGTTGCTCTTCTTTGGTTTGTCTGGTTACCCTTAAATGGACCTAAAAGAGGAAAGATAAAGAAGCATATGCAACTTGTGGCTACAAAGTACTATTAATAAGTTAATCTATGTTTCCATCAGCTTTCCACTGAGTTATGGAATTTACTATATCTATCAGAGGTCATCCATTGAACCTTAACATGTACAACAATATTCAAAGTATATAATTACGAAGGGCTCAGTAATTTACTAGTGTGTATTTGGTTGTGTTTAAAAGAAAAGGTAATACTTTCAAAATTTGAAGTAAAATTGATATTCTTCTCTCTGCCCACACGTGTCAGAGATAATCTAAACTAAACAATCAGCACAATCAGCTGCTCAACGAATTAACTGCTCTTAGTACTGTGTAATGCAGAAAGAAGCCTAAACTTCACCTTATCCAAAAAAAACATATATTACAGCACGAAGCCTCTTCATCAGGAATAAATGTGACTGAAAAGACTGGACTGAAAATATAAAACTTAAAGAAAGAACTTTCTTTGGTAAGAAAGAAAACAGAATTTAGTCCACCCCGCTATGAAGAAGAGTAACAATTCAAGAAGTTTAACATTATTCACATGTTTTTATTTTTCTGATAAATTCTAGGCTTTTATTGTAGGTTATGCCTCTTCTAAGTCCTCAATATGGTTATTAAGCTTCATACATATATTAAATAATGGTTTACATGGAATAAAAAGGCTTATTTCTTACATTATTATAGCTGGCATCGTCATTGGCCTAGTATTGACCAAAATTGCTTCTTAGGAAAGCCAGTCTTGCTAAGCTGCTAAAGAGGTGGTTACATCAGATGCTAATCATTTGTACCAGAGGCTACGCTACTGCAAAAGAACAATCTTGGGAAAATTTCAATAAATATTTCTATAGGTCATGAAAAGTGAAAACTGCTGGATTTTGCATAGGACTTGTGAGTTAGAGAACTAAACGGGGGATGAAAGAGCTTATATTTGTGCATTATTCTCCACGGCGTTGGGAAAATATAACTGGAGTTTATTGGTGCTTATATGTGAAATTTCTGTTATGCATTCACTAAAGGAGATCAAAGTAATTCAGATCTAATCCAGCTGTTTAAGAAAATGAGAAACAAATACTTCAGTGCAGAATGTTCATACATGTTCCATGCACGTTATGTTGTCAAAGTCAACGTGTTCCTTGAGAAAAAAATAGGTGCTTCTCATGAGCCCATATCTGGACTATCTCAAGTTGGCCGAATACTTCTTATGATCCTAACCAATTAATTAGCTGAACTTGCTACGAAAATGCTACTTGAGTGCATATGTAATTAAATGTCCTTCCTTTTCAGTTTGAGTAATGGGCAATTTGTATCAACTTAAAAATAAATGTTACACTATATAATTCTGCACTCAATCTACATTCAGCAACTTATATGTGGTTTTTTGATAAGGATCACCAACTTATATGTCTAATCAAGGTTATTTGTCATCGTAATATCATGATCAGCATATATGCAGATTATCCTGGGCACAAAGGCGTCAAGATGCCAATATTTTGGCAGGTAGCATACATAGTTAAATAGGATTTAAGCCTATACCCAGAAAGAAACTCGACACTTTTAATTCGTGTCAAAACATAAAAGTTTATCACAGTTGAATAGTATAACACTTCACTATCCATTACAGGGAAAAAACAGAGATTAATGGAGTTGGCAATGTTGGTGAGAAGGGGTTAAAACATTCCGAAAAAGATCTAAGTTCTGTATAAGTATCCGGTATGGGCACGTGTAGCTTTTTGTCAAATTTTTTTGTACTTCGTAGAATCTACACGTACTCATACTCGTGTCACGCCTGTTTGATATTGATATTCATCAAAGCAAAAAAATGATTGACATATAAATAGATTTATGGCTTAATAAATAGTGAATGACCACATGACTTTCAAGATAAAATTAGTGAATGCAGTGACTATGTGGGAGATAAGTTGATAAAACTGAAGATTGTGATGGAATTTAGTGACTTATAGATGTCTCTCGTGAGTGACAAAAGAAGGCATGTGTACTAATATAAGGTGATTTACGGTTGGAGATTAGTGCTAAAGAAGAAATTATGCATCATATTACTTTGATTTGTTTTTACATATATATTTACCTTATAGAACTGAGTTAAGTCTTTCGGGATCAAATGAGATCTGATTTTTATCTGTGAAAGGTCTAGTGTTTATTTGGGAAAACAATGAAGTGATAAAACTCATTCCACATCATGATGCTGATTTCTAACCAAATTAATTGAAGGCGAGAAGGCTTAACGGTTAGACCTTTTTTCAGAGTTACTGGCTCAGTGAGAGGAAAAGGAATATAAATCCCAGCGGAGACAGGCCCCGTGATTCCCCAAACCAGCTCCTGGCCTTACCCGGCGGAACCGGCCGAAAAATACAAAAAAAAAAAACAAAAAATTTCCATCTGCCTACGCCTTGGTGGGAAAAGTTATCCAACGCTGTGGGAGCAAGCCGGTATCTGGTGAAATAGTCGGCGTGCGTCCAAGCTGGCTCGGACACCACCGTCATAACACACACACACACACACATATATATATATATATATATGGCACAATAACAGAATAGCCTGGGAGACCATTGTACTTATTCCGGTTTGTCATCCCGGTCCTTGTAATCCACAAAGTTTCATCTGGACACTTATATTTATCAAAATATACTACTTAAAACTCCTCTGACCGTTGACTGAACATACGTGGCAACTTGATGGCTGAGGTGGACAAAATGTGTGTATTTCACGCATATAACATGCGTGAGTATGAATATTAAAACGAAAAATAATTAAAACATTAAGAAAGAACGTTTTAAAATAAAAGAAAAAGACAAGACAAATTAGAAAAGAAAATTAGACAAAACCCAAAAATGAAAAACTCCAGTTCGCTGAATCCCTGTCGTTCTCCTCCTCATCGCCTGCCTCCCTCTCTCAAAAAGTAAATAAAGGATAAAGATCACTTAGATCTAAAAAACACAGATATTCTGTTCTCAGAAGAAAAAAAGTTTGGTCTTTCATAAACTAAATACCGAAATTCATTCACAACTGTTTCTCCCAACACCATATCCAAATATACATGCATGTTTTCCATTAATTAAACCAAAATGTAAAAGCAACCCGTTCCAATCTGAATGCTTTTAGCATCTGGAACTTCGTTTTGGCAATGTATGAATATTCAACAATTTTTGTATATTACACCATATCAATGTTCAAACTTAGTTTCACCCAGCTCCTTTGACTAAAAAATGAAGCCTTAAATATCAATTGCTTTGAGCCTTAAAATAGAGTTTCTTGTGTCTAAATCATAAATTGTTTGAGTTTTAGTAATCCTCAAGCTAAACCTACCGATTCTTGAAAGAGAAACCATTGGTGGAGGATGGGGGGTGGCGGCGATGGGGGTTGGGTGGAAAAGAAAGAAATGAAAAAGATGAAGAGGGAGGAGGAAAGAGAAAATGGAGTGAATATCAGTTTTTTTTAAAAGTAGTTTCTGTCGGAAAAAAAAATTGTAATAATAAAAATTATGTGGCATATTTTATATGATGTGGATATAAATCTCAGCGTGATTAAGCAACACGTAGGGTCAAAAGGGCTTAAAATTGTATATTTTAATAATTATAAGTGTNATATATATATATATATATATATATATATATATATATATATATTAACAATCAAAGAGGAACATGTAGTATAGAAAGTGAAACAAATTTGATGAGCAGAGGAAAGCTTTGCCCTTCGTTTTCCTTCCCTATGTGCCACTTTTGAAGATTTTAAAGGTGCATGTTATTTAATTAGGGGTACAGCATCAGTTCAGTTGCATGCTTCAGGAGAGAAGGAACAAATGGCATAAGATTTCCTTGTTTACTGCAAGATTAAATTACTCCGCCTGTACTTTCTATCTGAAAGTTACTATCAATTTTTTGAAACCCAAATAATAAATTTCATGAAATTTTCAAGAATCAATTTCATGTAGATATTAAAACACAACAGTTTTGCTTGTTAAAGAATGCATAAACTCCTAAAACCAGTTCTTCGATTTTACAAGTTTCTTTCTATCTAAAATCCATTTGCCACTGAAAGTGCGTTAAGAGGTTAAATAGTACTTGATACACCAAGTCTTTAGGCTCCATTTGTGTAACCCAAGAGAAAATGATTATTTTCACTATGAATTTAAAAGTAACCATTTTGGCTGACATGAACATTAAAGGAAAAATGAGAAAGACAAGTAGAATTACTCTGGCTGATTCCCCTAAGAGGTTATGGAATCATATAAAAATGATAATTGTATTCGATTATGGAAGATGTATGGTGCAGGCAATAAATTCTGAAATATGAGTTCTCTCCATTAAGCCCGATCACCAAGGGTAGGACGGTTACAATAACTGATTTCCTTGGAGGAGACAATTGACAAACGTCTTAGAGCTAATGATGGAATTTTCACAGTCAAACCACATCAGGGTTAGTCTTAAACATTAATCATACCGAGGAGTATGGTTTCCTGGTCTTTCTCTCTTCTTTTGTTTTCTCCTTTTTGGGAGAATAAGTCATCGTGGGTTGACCCATGATGCCGGTTGGAAGCAAATAATAGGGTTTTATAGGTCATAACACAATCAACATTTAGGTGTGATTTCTCGTCGATGTGCTAATAAATGGTGTAGCTCTTGCATGCAGTAGCAGCGACATATCTTGTACATCATCAGCTGTTTAAATTTGCTTTTGTCTACAACTGATAGGCTTACCTTACCACAACATCCCCACCCAAAAGAAGGCCCACAAAGTGCGCAGTTTTCAAAAGAGGGCATAATATTGATACAAGAAATTATTCTATTCCAAATAACAAACTAGAAAGTGCAGAGTACAAAGTTTACCTTCACTACTTAAGGATTTCTTAAGCCTGCAAAATTCCACCTTGCTGGTTTCATCAATTCCATTCCACACCAATGCTTGAAATGTCTTAACAGCATCAGCATCATCAGTGTCAGTATCACTGGCTTTAAAGGTGAAATAATACCATGCCCCCGCAGCATATGATACGTTTACCCTCACAATATCCACGAACTCATACTTTTTAGCCTAGAAAGAAGACAGCCAAAAAAAAATCAATTGCAGTCAATATTAGCTTCGATATAACCATTTCAAACCAAAAGAACAAAGCAAAGCATTTACATTCAATGAATTGAACAATCCAATAGCCATGTTGCAGAGGTCAGTGTATCTCTTTTTTTTCTCTGGATTCTTCAGGTAACTCCGTAGCTGTGAAATTGGAGCATGAAAAGATGTACCCGGGTGGACAGAGAAATCAAAACCCTATTGCACAATCAACACGGAACAATTAAAAGTAACTCATCAATGAACAATAACAGGGTAAAGCATACAATAATTAATAGCATAATAGTAGCTACCAACCTCGCTCTCATCCAGCTCCTTGTAATACTGGTCCCAGACATGGCGATTCGTATCATCGACTTCAGAATCATCGGAGTAGTAGATCACAGCGTCGTCGCTTTCCTCAGAATCATTTGAATCTACTCCTCCATCATCAACTTCTTCTTCACTTATACTCTCTTCTCCCTCTGTCAACGTCCGCTTCCTCCCACGAGAAGAAAATTCATGCGGTATCTCCTGCTCCGCCATCGCAATAGAATTGATTTTAGCCCTAATCCACAAAAACCTTTTTCCCTAATTTCGACCTGTCTGCAAAGTTCCTTTTTTTTCCCGCTAAAAGCAATAATGCGCACGTCCACACTCTTTATCCCAAACTGTTTGGCTGGCCTTCCTATTATATGGAGTCAAAAATCTTTTTTATTTCTATTTCTTTGCAAATTTACATCTCTTTTTTTTTTTTTTTGGTTGAGGAAATGGAAATATATTAATGCTAAAGTTGGTTAATAGTTAATACCATTATCCCACAGAAATGCCACTTAGGAGTCATTTGATAGAGTGTATAAGAATAATACTAAATATGGTGTATTATTAATGCAGAGATTAGTAACAAAAATTAATTATGCTAGATTACCTTTAATCGACCGTTTGATTTGGTGTATTAAAAATTTTGAAAGGGTAGTTCTGTTTTTGTACATGTTTATCCATGTATTAAATATCATGGTGTTATTAATACTATAGTTTGCTATGTATAAGAATAATACTGAATAAGGTGTATAACTATTGAAAAACAATACCAAACAAGGGATTAAAACTACCAAAGCTAATACATGTATTATTTTTCCTAATATATCCTACCAAACAACCCCTTAATTGCCAAGTGCAGCCAACATAATGCAAATATTATTTGAAATAAGTCTAACAAAATGTGTTCGTTTTTTATCCGCCAAATATTGGGCTTCAACGAATGGAGTTGGAGCTGCAAACTACATATGTCGATGTAGATTGGACTGTTGGGATATATACTATTATCAATGAGAATGGTTTAGATATAGTATTTATTATGGAATAATTGTTTATACAACTTTAATAAAGTTTTAAATAGATCATATATTAGTTTGTGTCCTTTGCTTATATAGTAGATGATTTAGTGTATAGAGTTTAGCTTATACACGGATCGATTCTTATAAGTATAAAGTTTGAGTTCACAATCTAATGATGGAATTGGACAAACCATCATGAATGATTGCAGCACAAGACTAAATATAATTTATCTTGATTATGGGAATGGTTTAATTCCAACTTCTTGTGCTAGTATATTTTGTATGTATTGAACGGACCAAGTAGAGATAAGTATTTTATACTGACTTAATAAAATAAACTCTCTAGCCATTAAATGTACTTATACTCTTAATCTTGACATAATTATTATTAGTTGTGTATATTATTATTGTTTTAATTTATTAAAAGGCGAGATTCTTTCGTGGGTCAATATGTCTGGTAAATTGGATAATAATAATAATGTACATTGGCGAAGTAATAGTTAGTTGATGGAATCCATGTCTCGGTTTAGAGATTGATGATACACCTTTATGAAAGCTTATAAATTTTTATACGTAAACCCGGTCGGTGGATTTTGTATCCGACACATGAACTAAGTTAAGCGAAAGTCTAAAGGAAATTATCAATAAATTAAATTGTCAGCAATTTAATTTAATTGATTAGTATCTGAGTCTTAACATGTGGAGTTAAATAAGATTTAATGGATGAATTTTGAAATTGAATAAGGTGCAATTACGAATTTTTAGTGGAATAATTCATAATTAATTATGGTAGATATTAATTTCCAAAATTAGAAATTAATTCCATAATTGGAGCCTTGTTAATTAAATTCTGTAGTCCCTACTGTGCCAAAATAATAGGAAATAAAGGAATCCTTCTTCTGGTGGAAAAGAAAACCCAACAGGTTTTGGAAAAGGGTTTTAACCCTTAAAACTTGTGCTATAAATACATAAAGTTTTCCACCTAGAGGAGAGAGCACAAGGGGGCCGAAATTTTAGCCTATTTTCCTAGAAAATTTCGCCCACACGAAATTACTATTTCCGGATATTATTTAGGTAACACAATAAAAGATCGTGATCGTGTGGGCGGTGGAGATTTCAACGAGACGATGTGAAATTGAAGGTTCACATGACTAAAGAGCCGTGTTCACGCTTCAAGAGGTAACTCGTGAAATCCCGTTTATACTAGTTGTTTAGATTACATCTGATTCTGATACTGGGATTGCTTCCGCTTCTTATAATAATCCATCAATTGGTATCAGAGCCTACTCACATCTAATTAGATAACTAAGTTTTTCATGAAACAAGAATATCGTATTTATGTACGTTTTTGAATTACATGTATATGTGATTTTCTGAAAAACTGCACTGTTGTTTTGTGAATTAATAGTGCAAAAAATTTGGATTATTCTTGTAATCATGAGATAATTGTTTTTTGTTGATATTTGATTGGGATGATCTGGATATTTTTTGGTATAGAAAAACGCAAAACCTGATTTTGACCGAATTGCGAGTATCTTCGGAGGTCAGCGAACTTGACGGACTCCGATTGAGCTGAAATTTGGTGCGTCCATCGGAAACGACATGGTGAGAAAAACTCACTTTAGTAGTGAATCATGGTATTTTTCGCCGTTTTGAGGCCGTTTGGACTGTATTTTGGACATTTTTCTATTTTCTGGATATTATTTTTTAATAATTATAATTCGTTTTTAATTCAATGGTGGTAGGGGTGACTCCCCATGGTCTCCATGATTAAATAATGGTGATATAATAGGTTTACACATTGGCTATTAGTAAAGAGACGTGTTGTTGTATTAAATTCAATAATAGAGGTGTAGGATTTTATTAACTAGGTCTTACAAGGTATAATTGATATTGTGTGATGATATAATTATTTTGTAAGAAAGTAAAATCCTCTGTTTATATTCTGGATGACTAATGATTGGAGCGTTTGGCATATTTGTGCATAAAAAATTTCTCAATTTTTAGTTTATGTTTTCATGCCCTACGTGATGACTAGTCTTGGATTTTTGATGAAAAATTTTGTTCTCTGGTTGGATGTTTGTAACGACCCGGCCGGTCGTTTCATGAGTCACAACCCCGTTTCCCCCATTTTTGCTTCTTTATGTGTTGTTCAGCTGTATTTTATCATATCGTGTTGGTTGTTCTGTGTTCGGATTGGTCTTGGAGTGGAATGAGACACTTAGTCTCTTATTTAGAAGTTTAAGTTGGAAAAAAAGTCAACCGGATGTTGACTTATGAGTAGAAGGTCCCGGATGTGAATTCTGATGGTCCGGATAGCTTCATTAGGTGATTTTGGACTTGGGAGCGTGTTCGAAATGTAATTTTGAGGTCCATGGTAGATTTAGGTTTCAATTGGCAAAAATGGTTGGTATTTTCCGGTCGGAAATGGAAATCTTGATATCGGGGTTGGAATGGAATTCCGGAAGTTGGAGTAGGTCCGTTGTGTCATTTGTGACGTGTATGCAAAATTTCAGGTCATTCGGATGTGGTTTGATAGGTTTTTACAACTGATTTTGGTTCTAATTGGTTCTGAGTTCCATAATTACAATAGAATTGTAATTCTTGCCTTATTTTACATGGTTTCGAACAACTATGTATACATACTCTCTCATTAACACAAACACACGAACACTTTTAGTTCTGAACTCACACTTACACTCAAAACACTCTCTCTTGCTTTACTACTTGTGTTGTGGCCCGTTTAGCTGGCTGAAAGTCAAAGCTATATTTCGAAGTCATGCTACCTTTCTTTACTGCATTTTGCTTCTTTGACTGGTAAAATCTAATTAAGTTTTCAGCATCAACAACAACATGGTTACTTAATGTTCTTGCATTCTTATCTGCTTACTGCTTGTATCTAATTCAGTACCTTCATTTAGCATGTTGTAATTTCTTTTCTCCTGTTCTAAATCAATGTATTATGAGTCCTAAATCCCTACCCCCAATGTGTTTGATACTTATGGTTTGTTTGGGGCATGACAACATCGAATCTTGCTGAACATGACTCAAACTTGGTCCTCCTAGGATCATAACCTCCATGTTACCCTTATATGTTGTGTATTCTGGTTGATTTACAAGCATGACAGCACTCCCTATTACTGTGCATGCCCAGAAATAACTCATGCCTAAGTATATAGGCTCCTTGCAATGGATTCCCAACCCCCTGTCCCCTTGGTGTGAAATTATCAATTCTTTGAAGTGTTAATGGTTGTCTCCCATCACCCTTTCCCTCTCCTTTATTCCCTCAGTTCTTAGAACTCAGTTTCTGCAAATGCTCCGCGTGCTCCTCTTGACTATGCGAGTTTACCAGAATATCATCAATGAAAACAATCACGAACGAGTCGATATAAGGCCGAAACATGTTGTTCATCAAATGCATGAACGCTGCTGGGGCATTGGTCAGCCCAAATGACATCACAAGGAACTCATAATGACCATATCGGGACCTGAAAGCTGTTTTAAGAATATCCGAGTCCCTGATCTTCAACTGGTGATACCCTGAATGGAGGTCAATCTTGGAGAACATTCTTGCTCCCTTAAGTTGGTCAAATAAGTCATCAATGCGAGGAAAAGGATACTTGTTCTTGATTGAAACTTTGTTCAAGTGTTTGTAATCAATGCACATCCCCATCATGCCATCCTTCTTCTTCACAAATAGAACAGGCGCACCCAATGGCGACACACTAGGCCGAATAAACCCCTTATCAAGGAGTTCCTAAAGTTGCTCCTTTAATTCTTTCAACTCTGCCGGTGCCATGCGATACGGTGGAATAGAAATGGGCTGAGTGCCCGGCACCAAATCAATACCAAAGTTAATAGCCCTATCCGTCGGCATGCCCGACAGGTCTGCAGGAAACACATCGGGAAAAGCCCTCACTACAGGAACAGAATCAATACTAGGAGTCTCTGCACTGACATCCCTCACGAAGGCTAAGTATGAAAGACAACCTTTCCCAACCATCCGTTGGCCTTCAAGAACGAAATCACCCTACTGGGGACAAAATCAGTCGAACCTCGCCACTTAATCCGTGGCACACCCGGCATAGCCATTGTCACTGTCTTAGCATGACTGTTTACCATAAAAATGGTAACAACAGTTAAATTTGTAAATGGGACTCTAAAAATACGTGATCTATTATTATGCTAGTTCATAGAGCAGTTGATGCTAGGAGTATGAAGTTTAACGATGAGATGCAAGCTAAAACGGGGCAGTAGTCAAACCGAGGGGCTTGCTGCCGGAGCTTCGGACTGGTCTATGAAGGGCCTCAGGGTCGATATCCG